TTATTTGTTGAGTCTTCAACTTCATATTACGTAATTCTTAACATTTATAATAAATTCAAGAATAATTTATTAAAAATGTACGTATTTAATAGTTAAAATAATAATTTTACTGCGTAATATAATAAAATTTTTCATTTCTCAAATAAGGTAAGGCCTTGAAGCTCAAAATTCAAAACAACAACACGAACACAATGTTTATGTTCGTCTCAATTATCGTCCCATTTCCCACTGTTTCCTCAAGTGCGAGAAAAGACGTGTCGCAGAGAGTCATTCAGCTATCGAATTTCGTAACAGCAACACATATTATGTCTTATTAGGTTTGTAACATTTTCTATTCTATCGGTGGCATCTCTTCGATGGCATCGCTTCTTTGACACTCTTTTACATTATCTACTATCTTTTACTTTTACCTACTATCTTTTACCTCATACTTTTGTATAGTGTATTTTGGGGAAAATTCAACAGTGGCTCCAAAGCCAAGACTGTAAAACTCTTCTATTTTCTCGAACTTAAGATTCTGCTTTGGTTTTAAATATAAATTCTAATGTTTTATGTTTTGTTACAGTTACAAGATAGTCTACAATTTCCAATTCTCCTTATCCTCTAAGAATCTAACGATGCTTCAAAAGCTAAGAATGTAAGTTAGCAGATTGTACTTGAATTAATTCTATTCTCTACAGTTTTTTTTCTATTGAAGTCTGAATGTAAAATTATAACTACGAAATAAAAACATTTCAAATTATTAGAGTCTCAATTATTATTATTATTAAAATTTCAATTTTCACAAATAATACTGTCTTTATACTTTTCAAGGAATTTTTCACGGCGTTCCAGTATGGGATTCTCAGTGGCATCTGCTTGATGAGGATTTTCACGACGACTTTCCTTGGTGCAGATGATATCATTCTTCGCGGTGAGTCGCATGCATTTTTGTTCCTCTGGTCACTCAATCATGTCGTAGGACGAAAGGTCCGAATCGGCACAGGTGACTGGTTGTATACGTAGAATTTTTGATGAGCATAGTGACCGCGGGTATTTTTTATACCCGTGAGTAGTAACATCTTTTTCAGGTTTTTTAATGTATTAGATCAGGATAGAGCTTCTTGCACATCGCGCAAGTTAACAATTAGAATGTATATATTTATAGTAATTACTTATAAAATTAAAGTACTTTCAATATAGATGTTTGCA